CTGATATTATTTTAATAGCATTATTATTTTAGTAGCATTTTTTCATTATTATTTTAGCAGCATTTATTATTTGTATAACTCAACATCCACATAAATTTTCTACCAAGCATTTAATGCTTATCTGGTTTTATCTCCTATATTAATTCTCCATTTGAGTAATTACAAGAATGAAACTTGTTTTTTTCAGAACTGATGGCGCTGCCATTAGAAGTGTTATCAGTGAAAGGCTACTTGTAGTTACTGTTACTTCAGTTTGCAGATAGAAAAAATGCAATTGTCAGAAAATATTTTACACCATATTCCTGTTGCAAGAATAATTAATTTTTTCAAAAAGGTCTCAAAAAAATTATTGAAAAATATGATCTCTCATTGTCTCTGTCAATCCATGTACATAATTAAACGTGCATCTTCTAAAATTCCTCCCAAACATAATAAAGAAAAATTCATGCCACAGATGTAAAAAGAAACTGTCTTTCAGATAAAGAGTTAGGTTCAGCAACTCTGGGCTATGTGGATTTTTTTCCTTTGGCTGAGGATACAGAGGAAGACCGGTCTCAGCTCAGGGACCATCAAAATCTGTATTAGATCAGTATGTAATATCAGCAACATAAATCCCCTGACTCATGTTAGAGCTTGTTCAAGCAGGGCTCAGCTGTTTGCAGTGTACCTTCAAAGGGATGCAGTTGTAGAGATTTACTGAGTAGCTGCGTAATCCTTGGTGCATAAATTACCAAATATCAAATGCTGGTGGCAGCATCAACAGAAGATCAGAAGTAAGGAAAGTGAATCACTGGTTATATTATCTCAATTTTTGTTGTATCTTCTGTGACTTGTTCTGTCCCAAACTATTTCCTAACAAGCACTCATTGATCAATTGACCCTCAGACAGGAAAAACCCCAGCATCCCATGCTTGCTTTAAAATAAGTTTCTTTAGCACAGTTGGGAGATTTGTCAACTCTATTACAATGACCTTGTGGCACTTGGTATCACCATGCTTTATATTCACTGGGAAGTGACATATTTGGTATGGAACAGACACTACTGGAAAAAACTTCTCTGGGGAAGTTCTGTGGAGTGTGAGGGACAGATGTATACGAACACAGTAAATTTAAAGGTAAGTTACTTTGGGGTTTGGTGTTCATATTATGAACAGGATACTTTATGCCTACAGAAAAAACCATCATTTCTGCATGGAGAAGCCAATTTCATTCCTCACAACATCAAGTTTAAGTAGTATAGCCAATTAATATAGATCCTTTAATAATTAGTTCATTGTGCTGATGCATCTGATTGTCAAAATCAATTGCTCTTATCTTTCAAATAAAACACTGTTGTCAGAGTGACCATTCAAAATGACAATTGACCCTTTAAACCACAGGGATTTATATCATTTTTATAGGTATATCATTATGTGGACAAAATCATTGATCTTAAGATTTGTCTCTACAACTCTTCACATGGAACCATAAAATAATTTTTTATGGATCACTTGTGACACAAAGTGATTGGAATTCCTCCTAGAATTCCATGTTCCTTTTAAATCTCTGTAAGTTTTTTGATATTCACAAGAATTTGTAGGCCTTAACTACATATAGTGCAAAGAAATATCTTCCTTAATTTGGTTTTAATATGGCTACTTTCACTTCATTTCTTTCCTGTGTGATTGAAATTTCATTTCAGGTAAGAGCCACCAAGAAATTCCTCTGAATTATTGAGTGTTTTCCACTGAAAAAGGAAACTTCATTTGAATGTGCAAATCTAAAACATTTCTTTCCATATTTTGAATGCAAATTCCAGAATGTTTGAAGAAGTCAAATGTACCAATGGACAAAGTGTTATGAACTAGAAGTCTTTGATCAAGTTTTGCTGAGGAGCAAAAGATCATGAACTGTGGTGCTTTTAATACATCTGTGAGTCTACAAATTCAGAAGTTTGAGTGTCACAGGTACAACACAAATGACAGAATTGTCCACTTGAATATCTTGCAATCAGTTTTGTGATTTATATCCCTGTTTTCCTAGATAGTAGAAAGAGGTGCAGTACATATTCTGCATGCCAAGTTTGGTCACAATTTGACTGTTTACCTCTTTCCGGAAGATAGAATTCTTTTAAAGAGAAGATGCACTTAAAGATTTTTTTTCCTGCTTATGTTCTGGGAAATCTTTCTCTGTAGAAATGTCAGTGAGTGAAAGTTTGGTACTTAAAGGACATATGCTGTTCACTTTCCAAACCTCAGCTCTTTTTTCAGAGGAGTGAATTGGAGAAAAAGAGCCATTTCACTGTGTCTGTCTCAGCTGACATATGCTATGCAATGAAGCAGTTTTGGGCACTGGACAAGCAGTCTAACTGCTCTAATAGCCACTGAGTCTCATAACATCTGAAGAAAGCTCTTGTCCTCTTTGGCATGTAGTTATTCATTTTCAAAATGTCTGTACCATTTAAAATTGTACAAAATAGTAGAACATCACTGATGTCCTATAAGGTAAGCATATTCGTGAAAATGACTGCATTTCAAACTTTTCTGTCTTTTTCCCCATACTCCTTACATATGTGAAAGTACTGGGATGCTGAAAACATTATGTGTTTTCAGGCATTGAACATATTAACAGCAAGTATTCTATATTTGTTAAGGAAACCTGAAAAAAATGTCCAAAGATCAAGATAATAATATCTTTTTCAATTAATTATCCATCTCTCTTTTCATTGTTTTGAGATTTCTGAAAGACACATACCATTTTAGTATTTTAGTGATTTAGAGACTGACAGTCTGTGCAGAAAGAATTTTTACATTTAGTTGTATAACCACAACTAAAGCCAAGGTTTTTAGAATTTTTTTCATAAATACAGAAACAAAAGTGAATATGCCTTTGATTAGACATTGCATAGTAAAAGGTGTAAAATAATTTTTAATATTGTAACTGTCTTGGGAACTCCCAAAATTTGAATAGGGATTGCTGGTAACCTGTTCAGGCATGCCACTATTTCCCTTGGATAGTTTTGTCTTTAAAAGGTGAGGCACTAAATTACCCACTTGGGAACAGATTCAGAAAACATACAAATCTTCAATATTATGCACTGGGATCCCACAAGCACTCAGACTTTATTAGTCCACTAATCCACAAAATTTTCTTTAGAGATATGGGAGGTACTAAAGCGTGGTTTGGGTTTTACCAAAGTCCCCTAGACCTCCTGGGTTGTGAGCAAACTTGTAGCTATAAGGCTGAAATGTTTGTTGGTTGAAATGTTTGTTGGCTGTTTGTTGGCTTTGTACAAGGCTGAAATGTTTGTTGTTTCAGAAATGTTCCCAGTAAGTTTTTATGTTGGTTTTCTAATGACAGCCTGAGTAACAGCAACAGGATCTTTTTTGTAGGCTTCACGTAAAAATGGTGCTTTGAATCTGGCCAAATTAATCTATACTCCTACATGCTCAAAATATATTTTTCCAACTTAGGCATGTACCTTTTAACCTAAAGAGTTTTCTGTCAAATGGGAGAAGAGCAACAGGGAGGTAAACAGAATAGCAGAATAACAGGATACAATAATCTTCTCTCAAAAATAAACCCAAAATTACAGAAAATTCCTTTGTTTGGGTTTTGGTGAGGCAACCAGTGGGCCAGGTGGTTGCAGCCCACCGCCTGTGGTGCTGTTTCACTCCCAGTTTCAGACTGTCCAGCCAGAGGGCTGCCCTCGCTCCCGCTGGGTCACCAGGCTCCGTGCAGGGAGGGAGCAGACGATGGTGACATTTGCTCCAGCTGCTCGAGTGGCTCTGCTTTCTGCAAGGGCACACACGGCTCTGCAAATGGCATCACTGAGTCCCCTCCCATCAAACAGGCTCTGAAGCAGAATCCTCCACCTCTAAAAGCTTTTACACTCAGACTTTTGCAACAGGAGGCTTTAAAATACTGCCTTAGACTGTAGCAGCCGCTCATCACATGGACATTTGGGCTTAGCTGGACCAGGCTTGTGCAAACTGTGATAATTGTTAATTCCTCCACCTTATAATGTGCATGTGCTTTTAACAGAAATACCTCCCAAATGTAACTGGCAACAAAGTGCACAAATTCATGAGTTTCACTCTTGCTTGATGGGGGCTTTTTGTGCTCTACTCAGCCAAGTAGCACTCAGTCACCAGCCATGTTGTTTTAAACACGCACTTTAAGGCTGTACACTTAAAATATATTTGAAGTAATGTTTTGAAGTATGGAAATCAGCCATCCTGTTGTTTTATGGTGATGAAATAAAAAGAAGTTCTGAATGCCCAATAGTGAAATTTCAATATTTATCTAACTTATGATTAAAAGTCTACCCAGGCTATCTTTACCCTAAGTGGTTTATAAAGGAAAATAATGAAAATTAATATAGAATTATGTGTCAAAAAATCATGCAATATCATCATTATAATCAGAGATAGCTCAATCAAAATCAGATTTAAAGGTATGGAAATATTTCTGATTACAGAAGCATACATTCCAAACAACTTCATCTGGTATTAGACAATGAGATTCCAACATTACATAAGTCTTTAAAATCAAGATGGAAACATTAAAATTATTAAGGAAACATACATGTATTTCATTGTGCCATCTTTTTTAACAAGTTGGGAAATCAGAGTTAGGAAAAGTAAAAAGTACAATGTATGAATAAATATGATGTGTTCTCTGGAAATTAAGTTTCTAGTTTTTATGCAGAAAGGTCTTCTGTAGTAAAATAGAGGATGTGAGGATATTTTTTTTTAGCAGTTACTACTGTAACTATTTGCATTATTTTCTGTACAAATCATTTATTAATAACATACTTTACTACAAATAAATTCAGAAAAATCCTAACCACCCAAATTTCATTTGCAGTTTTCCTGTTTTTTTTACTGGGACCATAATCTTATCTATCTTTTGCAGATGTTCATATTTAAATTATTCAGGGAAACTGCGTAAGTGACCTAGAATTATACTCTTTAGAAAGGTATTTAGTAGTAAATATAATCAATTGCTTTTGTCTTTAGGCTTCTCTGGATCAAATAATTAAAGAAAACCTGTGGTTATCTCAAGAGTATTAAATCTTTCAAAACTACTATTTAAACTGTAAAGCAGATCTCACAGAAATACATGAAAATATCATCATTGTGGGAGATGCTGTTAGAGGCTATTAGCAGGTAAAGTGCTAGTGTCACTCATTCCATTCGTTTATCTCTCCTCTAAAATTAATTTCTTCAATACAGCTACTTAGTATTAGTAGAACACCTGCAGTCCTATCACCCAAATTCTTTTCTTCTTGGCTATTTTACCCTTTCATATTTTCATTTTTGCTGGCTTGCTGTGGTGTTTTTGTTGTTTTTTTTTTTAATAATTTTTACACAGAAGTTCATCTAAGGTTTTTAAAATTATTTTTTTTTTAATTATCAATGCTGTGAAACCTAAGTCAAGTGATAATGCAGAATTTTGTTGTGGTAATGTAATCTCGATTAACAGAAAAAGTGTTTTCTGTTTCTTTTTCTTGTGTTTATACATACCTGTCAAAAAAAAAGCCTATCATTTCCAACTGTAATCAGTTAAATGTAATGTTCAGGTATTTTAATCAGGTTATTGCTTGTTTGCCTTCAATGTCTACATTTCTGAAAATTCATATGCATTTAAGTTATCACATTCACAGACCTTACCTTCACATCAAAGTTTTAGGAAGGAAACTTCTTTGGCTCAGGCCGTATGCAGGAACCACATTATGATATATTGATATTTCAGTCCATTTTCTCAATGTACGGTGCAGAAGTGTTCAAATTACAAATTATATTTACAATTCAGATTATTTGCTAGTACTTTACTTTTAGCAACTCATTTTATATCTTATACCCATATTTTCATTGCTCATTTCTTCTTACCACTGCAGTTAGTCCTGCATTTTAAAATTCACTGCAATTAGTTTGCTTCTGACAAATGTAAATAAGAAAATCCCTTCCCAGATGTTCTTGCTAACTACATAGGTCTTCTGTATTTCATAACAAAATTGATTTTAAGACATATATTCTTAGGAGATAACCATATTTGGGGGACAAGTTGGATATTTAGAACATAAAAAGCAGAAGAAGTAATTACCTATCTTCACCAAGTGAGTATAAATTATATTCTGTTGATTAGATAGCAGAGGTAATGCTAGGAGTATTGTCATTTAAATTCAGCAGGAATTATAGCAGGAATTTAAAGTATTTTTTTTTTATTTGGAATTACGATATACTCTCTTCAAGGCTCTCTACAGAGAAATCTATGTAAGGTTATTAACTGGATATTTTATTTCTTTGAATGTAAGAATATCTGCCTTCTGCATTCTCAGAATTTAGTAGTTCTTGGTGATATTTGTGAAAGAGATTTTACTCTCAACAGTATACCTCTTCTGGACATAGTGTTGATGATATTATCATGCATCTCGATGTAGTCTGGAAGCACAAGAAAATTGCAAATGAATTGGCATATATTATTGCTTTCTTCCTTCTCAATTTGAATACAATAAAATAAACATAGTAAAATATAGCAAAATAGAAATGCAATACCAACAGGATCTAGTTAATCAGCAGTTCTATATAATAATTTGGTATATAATAATTGCTTTTTAAAATCTTGTGGATGAATAAAGTGGTGATAAGGATGTTGCAATTCTATAGGAGCTTATAATCAGCTTTACAATACATATACCAGGCTTGTCATAGGAATCAGTGATGGTAATGACTTTGGAACTCTGGACAGTCCAGTAGTGTTACTGTAGAAAGAAAATAAATTCCTTTTGCAATATTAATTTAAGTATTACACAGACAACTTAATCTAAATCCCTTTTGACAACTCTTCCTTTTGTTCAATGAATAACTAGTCCAACTATTAAAATATTCCTACCATTCTCACATGAAGAAAGTATTTAGGAACTACAGCAAAAGGAAAAAAAAACATGCTGATGATATACATTGCCTATAAAAAGAAGATACATTTTCACTGTGGGATTTTGCTAATAAGCAAATTACAACAGCAACAGAAAATCAATTCTGGAGGAGTATCAAAGTAATGACTTTTCTTGGTGCTCTGTATTATATGTGCACTGCAATGACATGAACATTCAAGAAGAAAGTGTGCTCATCCCTACTTAATTCCTGAGAAATTTCTTCCACATGCATACAAAATTACTCAAAATTAAAAGCCAATTTTACAAGTACTAGTGTAATAGGCAACTTATTTTTGGTGGTTTGTTTTTCCTTATTTTCTTTTTCTTCATTTTAGTTAAAACACACAAGGCCAGGTTAGATGGTGATTTGGGCAGCCTGGCCTAATGGAAGGTGTCCCTGCCCACAACAGAGGAGTTGGAACTAGATGGTCTCTAAGGGTCCCTTCCAACCAAAAATATTCTATGATTCTAATGTTTAATTTGATCAAATATCATTCTTAACAAGTATTTCCCTATAATTCTTTACTTTGAGATACTCTTACCCTTCTTTTTTTTTTCTCTTAGTAGTTTGCTTACTGGAAAAAACTCTGCTGTCCACAAGACATTTTTTATGTACACCTTATATCTATATCTTCCAATGATCAATGGCGTATCTGTCATGTTGAATGTTCAGTCATCATTAAAATATGAATCATACATTCCACTTTTCCAAGATGACTTTGGGAATGAACCATCATGCATATTGATATTATATTTAAATACATTCCATTTAGTACCTAGTAATTCATCTAAACATTTAGTTTTGAGGATAAGTGTTGGGGATATTTTAATGGATTGGAGAGGTGTGGTTTGTAATGTTGATAGGCTATTAGTTTTCACATGTGCATTTTGGTGTGGCCAAATCCTGCGTATAACAGATTTGTAGATCGATCATTATGTGGTAGAATTTCAGTAACAAAATCTTGCATAATAATTCTTCCCTGCAAATATTAAACAGCAGTTTCATCTGGAAATCTCTGTGGGCTGGCATATTAGCACCAGGAATGTGATTATGCTTTAAAAAGAAATCTAATTTTTTAAAATATCTTTCTTTCGCACTGAATAATGTTAGAACATCTATTCCGTGGGTCAACTTTGATACTTCCATTGTATTGTGCTGATGTGCCAATGGCTGTATTGTAGACATCAGCTTTTTCTGTAGTTAAATATCTGAAACATAGAGGTATGACATGTCTTTATAAGTTAAGAATGTATTTACTTCTCTCTGCTATCTGTCCTTAACACTGCAAGTGGCATTGTCTTGCAAAATATTGACAATTGGTTTTGTTCACATATTTTTATTGAAAAACTATAATGCAAATTATAACTGCGTGAAAATGTAAGTAAAATATTCATTCTCATATTCACTACCTGGTCTCTTCAGGTGGCCACATTATGGTAATATTTTGGGGAGAGGGAGTCTATTAATTCCTGTTTCTTTTTTTTTACTTTCTGGATAACTGACATGTTATTGCAGTAAAACATATGTAGGGTCAATTCATGCTGAATAGTTATTAGAAACCATGATAACAAAAGTCATTACACTGCAGTTCAGTTTTGACAGTAAAATTTCTGCAACATTATCACAAATCCTCATGCATTAGTGCAATGATCCTTACTAGAGTTTCATATTAGAATCAAAAGACTGCTGTAGCATGCTTGATACAAAAAGTCATGCAAGTAAAGTGAAGTTCTTTTATACTTTTATAGATAACATATTTTCATGTCTTTCTCGTGCATGTATCTGACTCTGAGACCTCTCGGATATTTTCTCCATTAGTACGCTTCTCATCTGGGTCACAGCTATTTTAAAATAATGTCCCTGTAGTTTAGAAAGGCCAAATGTAAAGTAAACCTGACAGTAGGCACTTTCCTGTTTAGGTAATTAATTCCTTCTGATTTTGTTGTTCCTATGTATTAACCTAAATGAAAAAAAATACAGCTCTCATATAAAGAAAAATAATTTCTTATTCTAAACTTTGGGTTTAGTTCACTTATCTGGAGACCATGGTTTACTTCATGTCTTCACAAGACTAATAGGGAAAGCATAGTTATATTTTGGCAAAAACTCCCATCCATTCCCAATTTCTTACAAAATATACAGGAAAAATTAAACTGTCAAGGATTCAGCGTGAAAGAAATGGAAATTATTATAGGAAGAACTTAATCATTTTTATCCCTTTATATATTCAATCTTCAACCAACTTTCATAACTATTTTGATTAGGGAGATAAATGGGTAATCGAGCAGACATTTGGGTTTTGCCAATATAACAAGACTAGATAGCAGCTAGTAAGCAAAAATGTGTAGCTTACAGAATTTTTAACTGATATTCTTTTTGCCTTAGAGCTTTGATACTCTAATATGTTGACAGAATAGCCAGTTTCATATGAAAATATTAGGGAAAAAGATGTATCTTCAATAAGCTTTTTATTATGCAAATTTCCTAATCTTTCTTAGAGCTAATTACATTTAAACAATGTAAACATCAAGTTAATGTTACAATCAAATTTGAATCAATAACTCAATAAGTTCAAATGACTCAATCGGAATATTAATGCAATGGGCAACCAAACCTAATTATTAGTTTTGATAGCAAAAGGATGTTTTTGAGCTAATTTATGGCTAAGTCAGTCTCCCTTCCAGATGCATCAGCCAAATCAGTGGCTAGTCAGGTCACAGTTTTGCTGCATAGGACAACAGTTCTGCAGTCACAGAATGCAGTGAAGTCTGTACAACTTCAGTAAATAGGAATTAGATAATTTGGTTAGGCATTTCATTTTAAAGCTGAATGTTCTCTGATGCCATGCCTGGAGAGTAACGATTATGGAAAATTGATTTTTTTTCCCCTCCACAGTCATAGATTCATAGATATTTAGAGGACACTTGCCTTTTTTTTTTTTTTTTTTTTTCTACTTCAGGGACACCTGTAGTATTAAGATAAATGAGTAGGAATGAGATGAGTAGGAACATTACTGGTTTTAGTGGCCCACATTTCTTACAGTACACAGGTCTTTAAGTGGAGGGGTGTGAATGGTGATGCTATTGGGCACTAGACCTTGATTCACAGAACCAGCAATTTTGACTGCAGACCAAATATTCCTCCACAGTGATGTGACTTGATGCTGAGAAGATCATGATTCAGTCTTTAAGGGGTAACAGAAAAATAAACAA